TTTATCTAGCAATTCTTTTTCTAATAGTTCTTTATCTTTATGAGTTGAATATTCCGATATACACTACTGTCCATAATTATTTGAATGGTTGTAGTTTTCCACATCATAGTTTTACTTACTATTGGGAGAGAAACTGTAAGCAAAGTCTAACTGAATTATATGTTATCTTCCTTTTACAAAAACAATGATTAGTTTATAATTTAATTGCTTTTTAATTACCCTTAGTGACAATAATTTCAAAAACAGCAGTTTTTTTTGTAACAAGGTTTGGTCTAACTTTTTAATGGTCAAGTTTCAATTCAATGTCTGATTATTCAATAAAGATTTTCAAGTTATTGAGCTAAATTCAATTCAGTTATGTTACTTTAGCGTTACCATTATACCATTAATGATTACTTACTTGTCATCATTAGAGCTATTGTCAGATGAATTATTGAAATAATCGCTGAATGATATGAATAAGATAGCAAAGATAGTTATCTTTTTTAAAATCTTTCTGCCAAATTATTTGACAAGTACTTCACAAGATTAATTAAATCAATCTTTTACCTTTAAATGATTCTGTTTTCAATACCTGTTTAACAAGTTTTTTTTTTGTTTTTTTGTTTTCAACAAGGCTGCAAATTTTCGCTTTCAACAAGGCTGCAAGCAACAACTAATTAGTGTTGGAAGTTACTGGAAGAGAAAAGATGAAGATTGTAGTGCAAGATAACGATTGACAGAAAACTTAAAAGACTGCAAATTATATGAATCAGGAAAGCAAGTAGATTGTAGATGGCACAAGAGACGCTAGCTCTTTAGAGCAGTGCCCATTATAGTATTTGTAGAAAAGAGAAAGAGAAGCAATACAACAATGTGATAAAGGTTGGCTGCAAGATCAGGTCCAACTATGTTTACAATGCGTTTTTGCACCTTGTCTAAAAGAGAAAGGGTATCATTAGAAGATCTGCCGCAGATATGGCAACAGTATTCTATACAAGGCTGGATTTGAGATTTATAGAGATAGAGAATAGAATCAAGAGTAAGAAAGTGTCGAGCTCGATAAAGAGATGCAACTTTAGCAGATGCTAATTTTACAACGGATTTGATATATGGTTTCCAAGAAAGATCAGAAGTAAGAGTTAATCCTAGAAAATGAAGGGTAGATGACACATCAAGTGCATTACCATTCTTAAATATAGGAAGGTCAAAGTTATTGCGATAATTTGAAAAAAATTGAGTTTTATCTGAATTAAAGTTCACCAGCCACTGTATGCCCCATGCTGTAGGAGAAGTAAGATCCTTTTCAAGCTCAAATGCCCCCTTCAAGGAATCAGAGAGAGTTTGCTTCTTATAATGACAAAAATAAATGGTAGTATCATCAGCGAACAATGCCACCTTGTGAGAATATCTGGAAAATCATTAATGTAAATTAAAAAGAGTATAGGGCCAAGGATTGAACCTTGAGGAACCACTAAGGTCACAGAATAAGAAGAAGAGTGCTGTCCATCAAGGACAACTTTTATACTATGATTGGAAAGGAAGGATTCAATAAACAAAACAAGAAAACAAGCAAACAAGACTCAGATAAGCACTTGTTGAATTGTTTTGAAAGGATAGACAACAGTTCCAGAGAACATTTCTGCAAGACTATAACAGGTATATTGTCCAGGCCACAAGCTGTAGAAGAGTCTAAGCAGGAAATCACTTTAGATACAGAAGCTAGAGTAATACGAATGTCAAGAAATGGATCAACCTGTTTGGCGGCTATATCAAGTAGAATGCAAAAAGTGGAATCAAGAGATGATATTGATGAAAAGTTCTTAGCCAACAACTCAGCTTTGTCATTAGGTGAGGTGACAAAGTCTGAATCATACATAAGAGATGGAAATACAGACTTGCCCTTATTATTGATACTGTTAAAGATTCTCTAGAAGTCACGAGAGCCTAATTTTTGTGATGAAATACGAGATTTCATGACCTGAGAATAGGTATTAAACAAAACCTTTTTATAATGGTTCCTAGCAGTAATAAACAGACGTCTGTTTTCTGGAGAATTGTTTTGCTAATAGATATGGAAGTAATGGTTTTGATTGGCAATTGCAGCAGTACAATGTGAGGAAAACCATGGAGAAGAGTGAGGCTTGACCTGGAATAGTCGAGAGGGAATAAAGGGTTCCATGCCAGCCTGAATCCACGAAGTTATATTCAAAGCACATTTGTCAACAGGAAGACGAATGACTTTTACCCAAGGGCCATCACAAAGAAAATTACGAAAAGAGTCCTAATCAGCTTTAAGGTAGTTGTAAGATGTACGATGATAGGGGGATTCTGATGATAAAGAAGAATGAGATAATAGTTTTAGAGAGATCAAACTGTGATCAGATGCACCCAGGGGTAAATGTGGAGAAACTGAGCACTGACTAGGATCAGAAACGAGACATAAGTCGAGTAGAGAAGGTAAATGAATCAGGTTGTCTGGAAAGTAAGTTGGAAAGTTGACTATTTGAGTTAGGGATTGAGAAAGGCAAAAGTTGTGGGCTTTAATACTTGCAGAGTCACTGACACTAGAACCAAGCTATTCAGTGTGATGAACATTAAAGTCACCCACAACAACAATATTGGCTGATAGATAAAGAGAGAGGGCTTGGTCAATATGATCAGAAATAACATCAAGAAGAGTACAGTCTTGAGATGAGGGAGAACAATATAGAACAAAGAGAAAGGTGATAGAGCGAAGTGGTGCTAAACGAAAGCACATAAAAGAGTAGTCTGTGGATTAAAATCTAGTTTCCTGATAAATGGGTGAATTCTTACGAATGTAAATGCCCAGGCCAAACATATGACTATTGGAGTCTTTACAAATTAAAAGAAGATAACCATCAACACTAAGATCACAAGATGAGACAGCTGAACTCAAATTAGTCTCACAAAGAGCTAGCAGGTCTGGTGAACTTTGCAAGAGACAAGACTCAACAAAAGAAAAGTTACTTTGAAGACTACAAATATTAGTGAATGATAGGTTTAGGGAACTTGGTGATGACAGTAGTTTTTTGTATTTAATAGTTTTTGTTACTTCATTTTTAAATTTGTTAAAGAAATTGACTCGAAACATAGATAGTACTCAGTATACTGTTTAATAACCCAAGCAATTGCCACATTACTATTAATAAAACCTAAGCCGTAACAAAGGGCTCCAATGTGGCCTTGGCAATGCACACCAAAAGTACAAACAGGGACACCATCCATTTGCAACATGGCACTGTTAATACTTTGTTATTTTTTAGCTGTTGATGGAATCAGTCTCTCTGAGAGCTATCAAGAGTTCAGGAAACCTGACTACCAGCCGGCTTCAGAACCATAAAACTCTCATTAGGAGATAATAGTAAATAGAGTAAAAATAGAGTTTTTATTCAAAAAAAGAATTGGCTTTGGAAATATTGAAACTTCATTTAAGTTGGATAATTTAACTAAACTTTTAGACTCAAGTTCATAAAGATGATCACATTTTCTACTTAACATATTCCTTTATCATAAAAAATAAGTTGACCAGTTTTTTCAGTAAGCAAATTATTTCTGTTTATAAACAAATGGACATAGTCAAAGATAAGAAAATACCATTATTAGTCAACCAACTCTTAAACTGAAGCTGATCTTTCAAAGATTTAAAAAAATGCCTGACTCTTTTCATCTCATGTTACAACTTTAACTTGACCCTAAAACTCATTTTTGGATTGCATAGTAATGCCAATTTGTTTAAAAAGAAATTAAGAGTTTAATTTACTTATAGGTATCATTTTGGAAATGAAGGATGGTCCACCGAATAAGCAATTAACTATTAAACCCAATATAGTTTTTGCAAGAGAAGTTGAGTCACCAAATGCTTTTCAGAATGATTTACCACTATGGTATAAGAATATTATTTTAACATAAACCACATCATGCAATAAAAAACAAAGTTTCTGTTTTTCTTCAACAGATTGAAAAATATTAGTCTTCTCATTTAATTTAGAAACTTTTGAAGTCATTGGTTTAATTTAGAAACTCATTGGTTTAATTTAGAAACTCATTGGTTTAATTTAGAAAGTCATTGGTTTAGTTTAGAAACTTTCGAAGTCATTGGTTATCTGTTCACAAATGATTGTACAAACTTCTGGATGTAGCAAAATATTGAAAAAATCTAATAATAATCTATAATCTTCCTACACAGTGTACTCATAGAAGCTAAATGTTCCACAATTACAATTTCTTTTCCAGTAATCAAATTCTTCAAAAAACATAAAATTTCTTCTAATATAGACCATGCATTAATTTTTGAAAATCTTTTTTTAGAAATTCTAGAAACTTTATTTTCGATACCATAATGATAAGTTTTAAAATGCAAAACCTCACTAATCTTGATAAAAAAACATTTGAATAAACTTGTAAATAAATGTTTGTTTTTTTTTATTCATAAAGCATACTAATGAAACACTTTAATCTCTTTCATCACTTTAAAGAATTTTTTTCATTTTAGCCAATGTTACTCTTTTTTTAAAAAAGTTAATAGTTCATCTTGATTGAAATTTCGAAAACACAAAGAAACACGAGTTGTTAAACGTAATGGTATGCTAGGCCAAACAAATGGTGGAAATTTACAATGATATTTTCCTCAATCAGAATTGAATTTTTGAAATTTGTTTTTCAAAAGAACCCATGTCATTTCCCAATTAATCATAAAGTACCAGAAAATTTACATCATAAAGAGGATAAAAAAATTGAAACACTAAGCTGACTTTTAAATAATTAATTTAAATTATTTTCCTATTACAGTATTCTATCTTTTCAACTGCATTTCTGCTCATTGAATATTTCATGGAATGGATACTTTTCTGCAAAGCTACTATTATATTTTCTTAGAAATGATGCTTTTTAAAATAAATTTGTTAAATAGTTTTTAAAAGTAAATATAAAAAATTAAAAAGATTTATTGCATAAAAAGCAAAAATAAATAATCAAAAAAAAAAAAAAATTAGACGTACCAAAGAAGACTTTTGAGTACTGCCAATTGAAGTTAACCTACTTTTTGTAGCTGTATTATTTTTCATAATAAGTAGTTGACATAAATACTGTGAAATTTCGATTGCATCAGTAAATGACCATAAAAAACTATATGTAGAGGGAAGAAACAAAAGACATTTTTTAAAACCAATACCTTGCAATTCATTATACTTTAATGATGTTATTATATTATCTTTGAGAGTCAAATCTAGACTCCTTTGAAGCAAAAGCCCATCTAGATAATAAGCATCAGTTTTTATTGAATTTGACATTTTAAATTGATAACTGATTGAAAAACAAGGCTCAAAATAATGCAATATACGGAGTAAAAATATAACCATCAACTTTATAGACAAATTAAAAGCTAATGCATATTTTTTATCTTTTGTCAAGCTCAATTCAATCAAATCTTCATAAAGTTTTTTTTTTAACTCTGCTGGTGGTGAAAAACTGCATGTACTTTTATCAATCATAAGTCGCCATACAATTACACGAAGGTCTTCAATTACTGACACTTTCTTGTCCTCTTTGATTGATGAAAATTTATTTAATAAACACTTGCAAAGATACCGTAATTCACTGTGGATTTCATTTTCAATTTCTGAAGACATGATACCAATACAGCATGACCGTCTAGATGCAACTTATTGATTTTCAAATTTTTATTGATTTTCAAATATTTAGGTTGGCAAATCTCCTTAATTTTTTTGTTTGATTTTACGCACTTTGGTTACCCAACTATTTTCATTTCTTTAAGTTGCTTGAAGATAGTGTGACTAAAAAGATTCTCATAAAATACAAAATAATAGTCATAATAAACTCTTATATATGTTATTATAATTGTTTCATCTTGTTAATATTATTTCATGGGCAGGTTGATTAAGGTTTTTTTCTTTTAATTTCAGATTCCGCGGAATAAAAAGTTTCTCCAAATCTCAAGAAAAAAAGGTTTGCGGGTTAACGTTTGAAATCTCTTTATTATAGGGCAAATCAAGGACGTAAAATAACAACGTAAGGACGTTAAACAATCTTATTTTACGTCCTTGGGCAAATTAAGAAAATTCTAATAATTAAGAAAATTTCTTAATGATTACGAAAATTTCTTAATGATTATCTAAAGTTATAAAAATTTTAATCATTATTGCAGGAATGGATAGTAAGTGGATGGGGGAGGGGATAAAGGGGGTAACTAGCCTTCATATAAAAATAATTTTTTTAATAAATAACAAATTATCAAATTGAGAATCATTCCCTCCCTACGTTTAAACTAGTTTTTAAAGAAACACTCGTTTTTACATCAAAACAAAAGCCCATTCTGTTAAAACAACTCCTGACTTATTAGATTTGATAAAAAATTTCCACTCCCACATTTATTTAATCTGAACCAAAGTTCCCTCCCCACCTTGTATTAACGATGTGTTAACTAGTTTCTATACAGTCCATTTACCAAGGCCGTAGACAACTTTTTTTGATGTTTTAGCTTAGCAACTTTGGAACATGAAGAAAACTCCATATTTAAGTATGTTCATATATATGACTCATATATATACGCAATTTTCATATATGTTTAGTTAAGTATGTTCATATATATGACGCATATATACACACAATTTTTTTATTGAATCAAATTTGAAATTCGTCGATGAATATAAATTAAGTCTAAAATTAAAAAAAAGTTACAAATATGCCTAACTGCCCTCCTGTTTGGGGCTGGGGAAGGGGGCTAACGTTTTGGTGTTTTTGTAGTTCTTAGTCTCCAATCACCGCAATTTTTTGCAGTTTTTTGCATAGCATCCTCATTCCTTATATTTATGAACATACTTAAATATGGAGTTTTCTTTATGTTTCAAAGTTGCTTAGCTCAAACATCAAAAAAGTTGTCTACGGCCTTGTTTACCATAACATATTACTTTTATTATTGAACTATAACTCTTGCGAATTTATATCTTAATTGATATCTTGACTGATATTATAGACTGATATCTGATATAGAATGATAACACTCTGTACAAAAGTTAAATCGTGTTTGGTAAATGGATTGCATCATAAACAGAGGTGAAAGAAGGTAATTTTCAAATCATAGTCGGTTTTCTTACGAATTTAGTCGGCTAGTCGGGTATTTAACACAATTCAGTAGGGTAAACTTTAGTTTTGAGGACCTTATTTTTTTAGAAGCCAGTAGGTACTTTTAAAAGATTCACCCCTCCCCCTCTCATATTATTCGCCTCTGATCATACCTCATATTTAAAAGCTTATTTTAGCTTCCAAAATTAAATTATCAAATAGTCACTCGAGTATTTTCAGAGTAAAAGAATATTGATTTGTTTATAAAAGCACTAAAAGATATTAGCCAATTAGCCAAGTTAACGATTGATATGATTTTAGTTTAACAAATTTTTACAAAAGAAAAAAAAACGTTGTTAAATATTTTTAACCCCATCAATAGAATGTTTCATAAGTTATCTTGTAAATAGTTTCTTTTGTCATATGAAATTTTATTTTATAACATTTAAAAAAGTCTTAAGCTTTACATATTTTGAATAATCTGAATGTTTATAAATTGTTAACAGAAAAAGTTATTATTTTATTTAACTGAAAAAAAAGTTAAAAAAAGTCGCAAATCAAGTTTCATCTTATACATTATATAATAAAACATAAATTTGTATATGTTGTAACTTGAAGCATAAAATTTTTATTGTATAAAAATACATAAATATTCACTCTTCATAGATGTTCATATGATTATCAAAAGCATCATCAACCCAGTGGGTACACGTGGTTAATGAGGATGAGATAATACTTAATAATAATACTTTCCAAAGTTATTCCACACCTGTGCTTCCTAGTGAGTGCAATTGTTTTTCAACAAGTATACTAGGATTTTGGTGTCCCATATTTTGCATTTATGCCTGTTAATATGACCATTGAAATGAAAATGGGCATCATCATTCATTGTGAAGGAAATTTTTATACGACCTTTTTGTCTAAGTTATCGAGTGCTGTCTTTCAAAATAAAATTGAACAACGTTGATTCTTTGTTCCGTGAGTCATTCCATCATAAGTTTTCAAATTAGTTCTGAAAAAAGAAATTTAAAAATTTTATCAACTAAAATGTTATTCATTGTACAAATCATAAAGTTACCTATGCAGCATTTTGTGGAAATTAAAAAGAAACAATTTTTAATAGGTAATAATTTTCTCTAACAAATTTTGGAAAGTCATGCATTTCATTCCGAGGATTTCACAAACAGAATCTATCTGTTAACCAGCTTTGTACCCTTTCTTTACTTAATAAGCTGGCGTAGATGTATTTATAGCATTGTTTCCAGTTTAGAATGTTGAATGCTGGATCTTTATAATTCATTGCATGCGTTTTGCTTATGTCTCTGTTTTTATGACTAGATAACTCACTCTATTATCTCTTAATGAGGGTACAGCTCTAGAACTCAGTTTTTTGGTTCCGAGGCCAACTGGTAGTCAGATTTTCTACGAACTCTCAGAAAGACCGATTCTATCAACAGCTGTAAAATATTAGAATAATAACTGTGCCATGTTGCGCATAGATGGTGTTCCTGTTTGTACTTTTAGTGTACATTGTTGAGGCTACATTTGGAGCTTTGTTACGGCTTTGGGTTTATTAATAGAAATGAGGTAATTGCTTGAATTATTAGATAGTGTATATCTAATAATTCACTATCTGTGCTTTGAGTCAAGTTCTTTAGTCAATTTAAAAAATTACTAAAGTATCAAAAACTATAAAACACAAAAAAACATTGTAATAAACAAGCTCTCTAAATCTATCAATCGCGGTCTTTGAAGTAAACTTACTTACTTAATAACATAATATAGATACACGGTTGAGTGTTATCTATATTATGTTATTTCTGATTAAATTAACTAAGCCCTCTCTTTATCGTTCAGGCAACGCCGTTATTGATTGTGAATTTATTGATCATCACATTGATTGGCCCACAACTTTTGCTTTCCTCAATCTCTAACACAAAAAGTCAACTTTCCAATTTGCTTTCATTTGCTTTCCAAACAATCTGAATCACTTACTTTTTCTACTTGATTTATGTCTTGTTTCTGATTCCAATAAGAGCCTAGTTTCTTCAAATTTTAGTTTCTAATCCTAGTCAGTGGTCAGTTTCACAATAACCAAAACCATTCATTTACCACAATAATTAAGTTTAATAATTGCGGGAAATTTATCACCCATTTTAACAGTTTAACAAAGGTATGCGTAAAGAAAAAGAGTACACGTCTTTCTAGATACAACTCGTAGCGATGGTTTGACAAGGTTCTAACTGATTCTTTTTTATATATGGAGAATAGCAAATAAATCTTTTTCTCTTTTTATTTAATGTCTAAATAATTAATGCCAAAACAATCATGGCCAAGACCTAAACTTTTAAGGCTAAGACCAACAGTTTTAAGACCAAGGCCAAGGCCTTTATTTTTGGCCTTATGGCGAGGCTAAAGACTAACAATTCTAATTTAACTCGGAAAAAAATTATGTACTTATTTTTTATTTATTTATGCATTTTTATACATCAATCAAAAAAAAGAATACAAAAACAAAATTTTTTTTTAATCCTCCTGATATAAAATATTTCAGTTTGATCCTTGTCAAATCAACCTCACGAACTCTCATTGAGAGCGGGAATATACGGTGATCCACGTTTAGTTAATGACCGGGACCCCGGCTAAAAATGAGACTTTTTTAAACCTTGCCCCGATCCCGGCTAAACTATAAGATTTAGCAGGGGTTATTAGCCGGGGCTAGAAATAAATTATAGTTTAAAAAATGTATAAATACTGACATATATTTATACATTTTCAAACTATAATTTATTTCCAACAAAATTGCAAGCAACCACTATTAAGTTATGAGCTACTTTAAAATAAAGAATAAGTAAAAATACTAGAAAATGGTTAACTGAAGACTAAAAAAGTTGTAGGTTGTATATAAAAGAAAAACATGAAAATGGCAATTAAAAAGTTCTTGTGAAAATAATTCTTGTAAAAAAGATGAAATAAATGATTAATAAAACAACTGCTCAAGATGATGAAAAATATGTTTAGAATGAAAAAAATTGAAGAGTAGGAATAAAGTCTTCCAAACTTTTAGTCCGGAAGGAATAAAAGCTTCTATGATGCATACATATTATGGATATAAACATATATGTTTGCTACTTACTTAGATGCTAATGATCTTAAACAATTGCAAAAACTAATGAGTTTAAGACCTAATTGAAGCAAAGACTGTTGATGAGCAACATAACGCATAGGTTCTTTTGAAGTATATGTAAAGATGTATACAAGTTTAAAAGGAAAGTTTCAGGATTATGAGTATTTGCGTGCATGCTTTTTAAGTATAATGTTTTGCTATATTATAGTATTTGCTTTTACTTTGGTATCAAATTTTTGTTCATTTGTAATATTAAAATAAGAAAAAAGTAGATTTTTATAGTTAAAGAGAGGCATTCAGGACCTCTGAATTTTATCTTTTTGTTTGTTTGTTGTTTGTTTCTTATAAATATAAAAAGTTTATGTAACAATTTTTATATGCTGTAGTGCAGTAGTTTTACAATTTTTATACTTATTTTTATTATTGTGTATAACGATATAAATAAAGGGGCTTGGCGATAAGACCAATGTCTTCTTCTAGCCCCTGCTATTTGTATTTACATATGTTTTATGTTATAAATAAATTTATATGGAAAAAATGCTGGCATACAATATCCTTTCGCACTTATATAAACTTTAGTGTTTATATGGTGTAGTAATTGCCGAAAGAGAAGAAGATGATGATGATGATGACAATGATGATGACAATGGTAATGATGATTATGATGATCAGGTTGATCATAATGATGTTTATATATGCATATATATACAAAATATATATATTTTGTATATACCCGGCCACGGCTACATTTTATC